TGACTTAAAGCAGAAACTTGTTCACATTTTGTTTTTTGTTTTGTAGGAGCTTGGACCTACCTCAATAGCTTTTGCGGCTTGTTCTTTTGTTTCAAATTCTACGAAAGCAAACCCCTTTGGGTCTCCAGTGGACTTGTAGTGTGGAATACTTATGTAAACCACGTTGCCACATTTCCCAAATACTCTTTCAATCCAGCTGTGATTAACGTTTTTGGGAAGTAATTCCTATGATGAATGAATAAAGATTAAAACGCAATAAACTTTAAAATAAAATGCAATAAACTTTAAATAGTAAACGGATCCCGTGTGTCTTATGTGTCTTCTTACCACGTACACTGTGCGTTCATCTTCATCCTTGGGGCGCTCCCCTAAAGGGTTTTTCCTCCTGATTCTGGTGCCTTCTAAGTCGAGCTTTAAAGAGTTACAAGGTGTCAAATGATACGGAAACAAACATGGTATAAAAATATAGAATGTGGGGGGGAAAAAAAGAATGTGAATGCATCTTACTGTACCTCTACAACAGCTGAACTTTTCAATGCCCTGGCAATTAATTTCCCATCAGTAGTCAATTTTTTCATTTTGTTAAATGACACAAGAAGTGATATATCCACATCTAGCAATAAAAAAGATAAAATTGGTAGCTGGCAAATGAAAACTGGCATCTTAGTCAACTATTGAACCAGTTTGCGCCATTGAAATACTTACATCCATCTCTAGATTTTTCTATCTGTTCACGAAGAAATCGGTCCTTGTGGAGGTTGGCGTCTCCAAACCAGAAGTCCACTTGCTTCACGATATCAGTGAGCACCTGTCTGACACGGGACCGCTTCTTCTTCTCCACATCCTTTTTCTTCTCTGTACTTTCCTCTTCCATCAACTTCACTGGATCACCGTGTTCACATTCCATTCTTAGAAAGTTATTAATTAGGTAATAACATTAGGATTGTGTGTGTCAGTGTTCTATACTCACACCAACCACCTTAAACATTGAGTGTAGAAGTGCCAATGTAGCAACCAGTATACAGCCACCTCACATAAGGCATGCTAAGTTTACCTCCAGAAAACCGTAAGTGATAAAGGGGAGACTGCCAGCTTTCCAAATCAGAGCACAGGCAGCTACTCTCAGAACCAGGCTGTCTCTCCATTCTGTCACAGCACAGGGAGCCAGCTTCATTCCTTGGTTATTTTGGGGGCTTTGTGCATTAAGGAATGCCTAAAGGATGTCTGCAATTTGGATCTTAGAACATATATTCTGGATAAATAGACCTTCAGTTTAGACAAAGATACAGATTAAGCAGAAAGTAACATAAAAAAAGGTAAAAATTAGCTTTCCCGAGGAACAACTTTTTTAAAGGATTAGAAACTATTGCTGACTCATGACTCTGGGATCTGTTTGAACTGCACCTGTGAGTTTCCAAGACATTAACGGTTTATAGGAGTAGAATGCCCTATCTTTCTCCCATGGAGCTGGATGGTGGTTTCAAACTGCTGACCTTGCATGGTGTCTGTCCAATGCATAACAACTATGTCCACCTAGAAACTGACAAGGTAGTTCTGCTCTACCACACAGAGTTGCTATGAGGATTCCTTAAGAGCACACATCACCACCATGACTAACAAGGATCAAAAGGTTACAAGGCAGCACTTTGGTTAGTCTTGGTGAAGTCTACTTTCTCAATATTCTGTGATAACAAGCACGCACACAGTCTTCAGGGCCAAGTCAAACTGACTACTCTTCAAACCTAGGCCCTGTTCTCTCTTCTACCACTCACTTTCAGCCTATTTAAGCATACCATATTCCACCCCATGCTAAACAATGTAGCTTCTTACTAGAATTTACCAACTAGCCCCAAACGACAAAAACCCAAACTCTATGCCAGACTTGAGTTGATGCAGACTCTCGGTGGCCCTATAGGACAGAGTAGATCTGTCCCTGTGAATTTCCCAGACTGGAACTATTCATGGGAGTAGAAAGCTCCCTCCGAGTGACTGGTGGTTTTGAATTACTGACCTGTGGGTAGCAGCTCAACTTGTAACCGCTATGCTACCAGGGCACCTAGTACTTGCCCAAGTTACCTCACTTCTCTGTGGTTTACAAGAGGAGGATGAACATAAGCCATACCTAATCGGACTACCAGGAGGAGTGCACCGACAGCACTTCATGTTGTTACAGTGCATACACAAGCAACAGTTTATTGTGTCAGCTTGTCTCTGCACATACTGCCACCAAGTGGATTCTGATCCACAGGACAGAGCTATACTGCTCCCGAGGGTTTCTGAGACTATAAATCTTTATGGGAGCAAAAAGTCTTATTTTCCTCTCCTGGAAGGGATTGGTGGGTTTGAACTACTGACCTTGCAAGCAGCAACCCAACGAATAATCCCCCATGCTACCAAGAACCCCAACCTGGCCCTATATCCCATCAGTTTGACCTCTGAACTGACTCCCAGTTCTATGTAGTGCTCTGATTATTACTGTCACTACAACAAGGCAGAAGTACAGTTGATATAAATTGTTCTAGAACTAAGTGATCCTTGTGCAACTTGCCCACAACAAATCTGATACGGCGGTTCTGCTGGTTCTGTGACGTCAATCTAAAGTCAAAACTTTCAATATTAGAAACTTCTTAGCACTTCCTGTAATTAATTTTCTTTTTAAAAAATCCACTGAACAGGGACTTTAGACAAAGAATAAACGTTACTGTGTAGCAATGCCAGTTATTTTAAATCCAGTGCTATAAATCCTCACAATCAGTTAAGTGGCATCTTCTAGCTTGTTTTTACTGAAGCTCAACAACTGTGACAAGCCAAAGGACTTCAAAATATTCATGGGAAAAATTCCATTATCTTTTATTCCATTTTACACTGAGTATATCTTAGAAGCTCGGGCAAGGCTGCCGAATCAGCTCTGGACTGTTAACTGAAAGATAAATGTTTCAAATCCATCAACTGCTCCTTGGGAGAAAGATGAGGCTACCTGTTCCTTAAAGATTTACAAATTCAGAAACCCTACATGGACACAGGTTGCAGGAGTCATAAATTTGTGGCAGTAGGTTTGGTATTGTTTTTTGCCTACCTATTATTAAAACTTCCTGTACTTTGAAATTCTATGTGATTTAAAGAGGCATTTTGGATTTCATTAAAGTATAAGGGAAAAATTTTTGAGACATATAAACCATGTTGTAATAATGTAACATCAATACATATCAAGATTGTATTTAAATCTTGACACTAGGTGTCAAAAATCAGTTCTAATGAGAATTCAAAGAGCAGGTACATAACATATACAGGCAATTAGAAATGCTAAAATTAATTTGCTAATTGATATAAAACTGATCAAGGCAGTAATTAACTGCATCTCCATTGAACAAAACTAATGTGTATTATCAATTTTCTACTTTAAACTCACTCAAACCCAATGTTACCAGTCAATTCTGACTCACAGTGTCCCTATGGACAACAGTAGCACTGCCCTGTGGGTTTCTTAAAAAGACTGTAACTCTCTAAGGGAGTAGCAAGCCTCATTTTCTCCCATTGAGTGGTTTGGTACTGCTGACTTGGCTGGCAGAAGCATACGCCATTCTGCTACGAGGATAAAATAGTAAAATTGTGTCTGTTTAACAGTTTTATGGGTACTTCATCCACAGGTCATACAACTCAATAATTTAATCCTATCAGGAAGATTTGAAAATCATCACCATCATCAATTTTAGAACATTTTCTTTTCTTATATTTGTAATTATTTTTTAATTGTGGCAAAAATATACACAACAATACAATCTCTAATCCAGTGGCGTGAATTATACGCTTTGTGTTTAAAATTGCCCAATTACGAGAGGCATAGATGGACGAAGAGCACAAGCAGGGACACTACACATCTATATCTATTTAAAGTTTTATGCAGTTTCTCCTGATAAAATGATATCCAAAGCCTTTGGGTAAAGAAACAGCCACTCGTCTTGGGAGTTTACCTTAGCTTTTATCATATTTTCATAGGCACTCTTGTGTCATTTTGTTGGGCTGCTAACCACTGGGGCAGCAGTTTGAAATCCACCAGCAGGCCTGCTCTTCAGGATAAAGAGGAGGCTTTTTACTCCTCTAAGGGTTCACAGCCTCAGATGTCACCAAGGACAGTTCTGTCCTGACCTATAAATTTGCTGTAAGTTGGAATCAATTTGATGGAATGAGGCTGGTTTGTGACAAAAATCTTAAGAACCACTGTTCCAGAAAAAAAAAAAAAATTCTGAGTATTTTCTTGACTTATTGTCTTTGCCTGAAATGAGTCGTCTGATTCCACTGGTCTTATAAACCGATATAACTTCTATGACCCATTTAAAATGTCATCTTATTCTCTGCAATCCCTAAATATATATATAGCATTCGGTACTGTACATTGTATTTATCTTAGCAGGCACAACCGGATAAAGAATTGACTTCGAACTCAAAGGTTGGCAGTTCAAAACCCAGAAACCTTGGAAGGCAGGTCTGACCATCTGCTTCTAAAAACAGTGTTCTATTCTGCACGCACGGGGTAGCCCGGCGTCGGAATGCACCACGGGTAACCAACAACACACTATATCTGGCATTTACTAGGTCCCTCTGGTAGCTGTATTTACAACTCTTTGGGAACATGACTCGAGTTCTGCAAAACAAAATGATAATTATGGAGCACAACCTTTTTTTTTTTTTTTTGAGCACAATCTTTACATTATCTAACTTCCCCAAAGATTTCTTTGGCAGCCGAAACCCAAGCCCAAACTCCCTTAACAGGCACTCTTCCTTAGCACCTCTTCCCCTCCCGTTACCGTACTTCGGAAAGGTGCAGTCAGACGGGAAGCACGCCCTCAAGTACCCAACGGCGGACAACATGCGCCCTCGCGCGCTACAAACTGGAACTGCAAGGACTTCTGCGCACGCGCAGAGTAGGGCAAGCGAGCTGGGGGGCGGGGCGGTGAAGACCGACGAGCTACTGGGCTGCACGAAAAAGAACTAAAAGGAATTTAGAGCTCACCCAACTTGAGCAATCCTACAGGCCGCTTGTAATCGGTTCAATTCCCCAAGCACGGGATCAGAGACTGCGCCCTTCAGCCCTTGCCGCCTTCCGAGCTAAAGTCGTGCTTAATTTCGCGTCATAGCGTGAGCGACACCGTCCTCCAGTTCCCTGGAGACGGGGCCCACAGGCTGTGGGCCCGTCCTTACGTCACCGACGCGGGCTCACTTCCGGGGGCGGGGCATCGGGCAGACGCAGAGCCGAGTGAGAATTTGATTGGCAGTTTGAAAAAGGCGGGCTGGCTGAGGTGAAGGTGGGCAGGCTGAATCTCGGGTCTGAAGCTGGTTTCGTCCCGTATTAGTGACGTCACACGCTTTCGCGGGAGAATTTCGAAATGGATTTGCTTGGGGACGGGGGCAGTTCGTTTACTGCCTGTGGGAGTTTTCCGGGAAGAAAGAGTGGCCAGGCCAGGGGGCCTTAGGCGTGCGGCGGCGTGGCTGTCTGGGAAGGAGAGACGGGAGAATTGCTCCTGAAGCCGCGGATCGGGTAGGAAGCTGTTTGAAATGGGTGGCAGCTTGCTCGATTGCCTGTCATCCCCAGAGCCTCGTGTTCGCTGCTTGTACCAGGCCTGCTCTGCGATGCCTGCACGCTCGGGAATTGTCGAGGGTTTTCGTGTTTGTCCTCAGGACTGACGAAATGTCACCCCCCCATTCTCATGGGGTTACGCAGCATCGTGATTACTAGAATCTCGGACCTGACGTGTGGGCTCCTTTTGGTTGCTTATTTGGACTGAATGGTTTCAGTGATTCAGAGATTTTTAAGACGCAGACGATCTTTTGCAGGTAGCGAAACAAAACGGCCAACAACACCTTGTGGTTAACGGACTTACATTTTACTGAGAACATCAAATTGACATACACATGAATTAGTATATGTGTAGATGTGTGCATACTAATGCACATGTATATGTATGCTTGTGCATACCAGTGTAAATTACCACAGAATTTTTGGGGGGATCTCCACACCACTTAAAAGATATTTGCAAACTAATCTTTCATCCATAAGAGATGGGCCAATATTTAATGTATCTAACAAATGTATATAAATTAACACTTGGAGAAAAAATTTTATCCCAGTATCTCACTCAAATATATGATGCTGCCATCCAAAATACTACTTCCTGTTTAATGGTAAGAAAGGAACATTTAATTTCCACTGAATGTAGGCAATAGGGTTCTTTTAGAGTATTTTCTCATCCTATTACCCCTTTTCCTCCTGAAATTTGAACCTATTATTTTACCATTTATGAGAATTTTTGAACATTCATTTAACTCACGTATTGTCATAGAGTCGGTGCTAATTCACAGTGACCTGATAGGACAAGTTAAAACGGCCCCTGTGGTTTTTGAGACTGTAAATCTTTATGGGAGTAAAAGCCTCATCTTTCTCCTGAAAAGCTGGTGGTGGTTTTGAACTGATGAACTTCTGGTTACCATCCTAACTTCTAACCCACTATGCTCCTAGAATCTTCATTAAGTTCCTTTTAAATTCTAAATCTCAGAAGAAATTTCACTACTTTGGGAAAACACTAGGAAACTTATCTTACGATTCCTAAATAAGTGTATAAATAACCCCAACTTAGTAAATACTAGATTCCCAGTCTTCAAATTGTGCTGACAATACCTGCTCTTCAGGATTATGAGACTGATCAATACTATGTATAAGGTATTTAACCCTGGTTTTGAATGCTGATGGCAATTATTGACTTCAACAGTTACTTAAGTATTTCAACAGTTACTTCAACAGTTACTTAAGTAGTATGCACTCCAGTTTCCCTCCTTTTTAAAAATGAGATCATTGTAAGCATTTAAAGCACTTTTAACATTCTTCAGCATCTAGTTGCACTGAAAAAAAAGAATAGCTATTATGAAATAGATCTCAGATTAGTAATTTCCACATACCAGGCACAGCGCCAAGGGGCTCTGGTGGCGCTATGGGATAAGCGTCATCCTGCTAATTGAAAAGTTGGCAGTGTGTAACTGCTCTGCAGGGGAAAGATGAGCCCTCTGCCCCTGTGAAGATTTATAGTCTGAGGAACCTTGTATAAGGTTGATAACAGTGGGAGTCAACCTGATGGCGTGGGGTCTTGTGCTTTGGAAGTATACTGCAGAGTCTGATTTGTATATACGGACTGTGTCGCCCAGTCAGTGACTGTGAGCAAGTTGATGTACCAGCTAGAGGTGCTTCTTTGTACATCTCTGTGATCTTCCTTACATTTTAGTAATTCTAGTGGGCTAAAAGGCAAGATACAGGAATGTGAGACTATGTCTTTGAAAGGTCTGACCGGTGACCTGTGTCCTGCGGTATGCTTTCAGATCTCATGTGAGTACTTTTTACCCCATGCTTAGGAGCCCCAGTGGTGTAGTGAGCTGCGATCCACGTGGTCAGCAGTTCAAAACCAACAGCAGCTCCAAAGGAGTTACTCTTGGAAACCCACAGGGGATCCTATGAGTCAGTATTGACTTGACGGCAGCAAATTTGGCTTTTAGTTTACTCCATCTCTTCTTCACATAGCAGCCAGCCTAACCTTCATAAAACCCAAATGAGATGTCATCTTATTCTAAAAACCCTGCCATGGTTCTCAGTCATTGTCAAAAGGAGGCCAAACTCCACCTCCGCATGACTTGACAGGGCCTTCCGAGTACTCTTATTGCTTGTGTTGTCAGGCTCTCAGGCAGCCACTCACTTGACCTTTTAATCTGACCTTTTAATGACGCTGCTTAGCATGATTTCCTGTGTTGGTTTCCTGTGTTGCCCTCATCTGTTTGCACACATCTATTCCTGTGTGGAAAGAACTTCCCTGGTACCCACCCTTGCTTAAGGGTCATTTCCAGATATAACATAGATATTGCCTTCTAGAAGCTATGTGCTATGTCCTAGACCAAGTTTGATGCCCCTCCTGTGCACATTCTTGTTCTATTTTATTGTGATTATTGCTTATTGTCCTTCTATCTGGAAATTTCCTTGAGATCAATGACAGTATTTTGTTCACTTTTGCATCTCAGCCTAGCACAGTGTCTGACACATAAAACCAAAGATACACTGCCAGCCAGTTGATTCCAACTCAGAGACCCATTGGACAGCATAGAACAGCCCCATCAGATTTCCGAGGCTGTAAATCTGTATGGAGGCAGACTGCCTCCTCTTTCTCCCTCAGATCTGCTGGTGGCTTTGAACCACTGACTTCCATTAGCAGCCTAACACTCAATCCACTGTGCCACCAGTGCTTCGTGTCAGGCAAATAGTAAATGAAACAAACAAACAAACAAAGGAATTGCAGTCTAGGCTGTTCCACCTCACTGTGGGACCATATGCTATATGGGACTTTCTGGCTGTAATCCTTATGGAAGCTGATGCCAACCCTTTCTTCCTGAGTGCCACCAAGTGAGTTTCAAAAGACAGCCCTTAGGTTAGTAGTCAGGTGCAATCTGCTTGTGCCGCTCAGACCTCTGGATATAAGTAACTTATAAATCATGCACACTGCTGTATGCTGTCAAGTCCTGTCCAGCCTGGTGGTGTTGGGTGCAATCGATTCTGACTCACAGCCGCTCCAAACACTGCCTGGCCCTTCACATTCTCACCATTAGTGTTATATTTGAACCCATTGTTGCAGCACTGTGCCATTTTATCTCATCCAGGGCCGCCACCGTTTTTGCTGCCCCTCTACCCAGTGTGATGTCTTCCTGGTCTCCTGGTCTCTCCCGGCATGTTCAATGTACATGAGATGAAGTCTCCACCTCTTTGCCTCTTGAGCATTCAAAATACTCTGGTTTGGCAGACCGTAGGCCTCAAAATGACATCTTTTCTCTTCAGCATGTTAAAGAGGTCTTATACAGCAGATTTGTCCAATTCAAGTATATCCTTTATTTTTATCATAGCAACACTATAGGGCAAAGAATTACCCCTCAGGGTTTTCTAGTCTACTGTCTTTATGGGACCAGATCACCAGCACTTTTCCCTCAGAGCAGCTGGTGTGTTTGAGCTCCCAGCCTTCTGGCTGGCAACTGGACACTTCACCGTTCAGTTACCAGACCGAACACCAATGGCAAACCCCATTGCTGTACAGTTGATTCCAATTCATAACTACTTACAGGACAGGCTAAAACTGACCCAAAGTGTTTCAACACAGAAACAGATCAATACATCATTATGCCCTGGAGGGGCTGGTTTATTTGAATCACTGACCTTTCAATGAGCAGCCGAGTACTTAAGTACTGTACCACTAGGTCCCTTTAAATAATATACGTGTGGCATAGTTTGTATATTTTATATGTCTCAAAGAAGAACTAAAGCCATCATCTCAATTTGTAACTTTGTTGGCCTCCTTAGGGGCTTAAGAACTGTGTTCTCAAAATTGCGCATGCCACAACACTACCCGGAGGGCGTTTAAAATACTGACTACTGGACCCCAGCTCTAGACATCCTGGTTTGATTGGTCAAGGATGGAGTCTGAGAATTGGCATTTCTAATAAGTTGTTCGATGATGATGATGCTGGTCTTGGGAAAATGCCTTTGGAACCTCTGCTTTGGAGGGTAAAAATAAACTATCTCATTGGTATGCCTATTTACTTTTTCAAGTCCCCCTGAGTAATACCCAAGTTGGCCAACAAAAGTTGTATCCAATGTCATAGGATAGCTGCACAAACCCCAACCCCAAACTCACTGCCATCAAGTTGATGCTGACGCATAGCAAGCCTAGAGGACAGAGTAGAATTGCCCATGAGTTCCCGAGAATGTTGTTATGGGAGTAAAAAGCCCCATCTTTCTCCCAAGGAGTGGGGTTGGTGGTTTCAAACCGCTCACCCTGTAGATAACAGGCCAATGTGTAACCACTACCCCAAATTTGCCCACAAAATAGTTTTATCCAGCGTCATAGGATAGCTGTATACCCATTCCAAAAACTGCAAACTTACTGCCAACTAGTTGATGCTGCCTCATAGCATACCCCTCACTAAAGTATCAAGCAGTCTTCCTTGCAGAAGGATTATAGCGCACACTTGGTGCCAGGTGCTGTGGTTTGACTTGAAAATGTCAGGCAAAGAAATAACACTCCAGTGGGCCATCTTGTGGTGAATGTAGGGATCCATTACGGGTTTTTGTTTGTTTTCAGTCTGTAAAGGTAACAAATACGTGTGTGGAGGTGGTGGTTGGTGGGGGGCGGGGAGCTGGGAAGGCTGTCATATCTTCTGATACATACTGACACTTGGAAAAAAGATTTGTAGACTACCACTTATGTGTTGTACTTAGTTTTGTGTTTGGTTTTTGCATTGTTTTTCTCTGGAAAATTGGTTTTCCAAAACACAGCTATCTTTCTTGTGTGTCCTGAGGGGCAGACAATTTGATCATACATCTGTTTCCTTCTGCAAGTAGGTGGAGCCCTGATTTCTCTTTCCAGTCAAGACTTGATGTTGAAAATTATATTTGATGCTTGAACTTTTCAACAGCTCAGGCTTTTTTGTCCCTTTTTATTTTAGATGCTATAAGTGGTAAATGCTGAGTATCTGCTGGGCCTGACTGGTTAGAATTTCAGAAGAAATGATGGAAAGCCAAGAATTTGTTGTAAGTCTTGCCTGTTTTCGCGGGTTCTTTTCATCCCTACCTTCCCTACCTTCTGCCCTCCTTCCATTGGGCAAATCCCTTGTTAGTGTTTTAGGGTTTCACAAGAAGAAACAAAAATCTGGATGTGGAGTAAAACTTGAGTATGAGATAATAACTTTTAGAGTAAGTCTGCCCCATTCAGTTTTGGAAACATAAACCCAGGTGCTGTGTAGTTGATTCCAAGTGTAACTGGTTAGCCCATCGGGTTTCCAAGCCGGTCTGTCTATGGAAAGCCTACCACATCCCTCTTCCATAGAGCTGCCAGGGAATAGCAGCCGAGCACTCCCCCACCGAGTCCCCAGGCTCCTGTGAGGTGCCACATGCTTCTACTAAAAGAGCATTGTTTATCTGAAATTCAGATTTAGTCAGGCTACTTATACTTTACCTAACAACCCTATCTTTCGCTACCGGTCATGTTTGGTGTCCAAAGTCTTTTGTAATGAATTCTTTAGAAACTTGGGTCCAGGAAACAATTTCTCTTGGACTAGCATGCCTCTTACATGTAGGATCACTGGTTGCAAATGTTTTTGGTGTCAGGATACTTTTACTTGCCTTAAAAATGTTAAGGGCCCCAAAGAGCTTTTGTTTGTGGGAGTTACATCTACTATTGTTTTCCATATTAGAAATTAAAATCTCTTAAATAGACATTTTTAATTCAATAAAAATAACAACAGTAAATCCATTACATATTAACATGAATTTACACTGCTATGAAAAATACTTGTTTTCAAAACAAAAGATACCACAGTGGGTAAAAACATTGAATAATGTGATTTTATAGTTTTACAACTCTCTTTAACTTTTGGCTTGGTATGAGACAGCTAAATTCTCATATCTGCATCAAGTTACTTCAATATTAGACATCCTATAGCATTGAGAAACTCCACTGTATGTACTTGGCACAATGAGAGTCAAAATGCAAGTAATATCATAGTATTATCATGAACCTAGCTTTCCCTTCATGAATCCCTACGCAGGTCTTGGGAACCTCTTGGCGTCTTTGAAGCACACTTGAGACCCGAGTGGTAGCCTTGTAAATCGTTCTCTTCCCAACACCGAATACAAGCTCAAAGTTCCTTTTGGTGCCTAGTTAACTTTTCTCTTTCCTCCTTAGATTTCTGCATTTTTTTTCTCCTTTCCTTACTTTTCCCACCTAGTTCTTTTCATTGTGCAGCTTTTTAGAAATGTCTTGTTGTTATTGTTCTCAGGGTGTCTGTGCTGTTTTTCAATGAATGAGATCTTAATATGTTTTTGTATGAAGAGATGCTATAAAAAACGCACAACCTTGAATACCTATAAATTGAAACTGTGTCTTTGCTTTCATACTTTTGGGAATAAGGTACTTTATACTCATCAGAAGACAAAGAAGTCCAAAGTGTGGCAAGATGGAATTCTGAAGCTCACCAACTTAGGAAACAAAGTAAGAGCAAAGATGCCCATTACAGAATGCAAATTGTCTTCTTTTATTATTATTATTATATAATAGTTTCATTGACTTATTTTACACCACCCAATATATCTATTCACAGTCAATTCTGTTGTTTAATCCCAATCCAGTGATTGATGAAACAATCATCAATGCTATCAGTTCCCCCTTCTGCTCCTCTCCCTTCCTGTACTCTCAGGGAACCATTACTCTTGTAACTATTTCAGAGACATTATCTATCTTGCCTTTCATGTACTGCATAATCTTAAATATACCAATAAAAATATGCAAATCTAACTTGATTAATGAGGTAGAACAAGTAAACCATAATAGTAAGAGGAGGAAATATTTATGAACTAGAGGATAGTTATGTAGTTCATCGGTGCCAAACCGTACCCTCACTTTATCGTCCATTCCATGTGGCCCTTATATGAGGGATTGCCCAATTATCTTGCATGTGGGTTTTGGGTCTCCACTATCTCCATGCCCCTTCACATCAATTTGGTTGTTTTTGAACTTCTGATACCTCTTCCCGTCGACACCTCATGATCACACAGGCTGCTGTGCTTCCATGTGGGCTTTGTTTCTTCCCTGCTAGATGGCTGCTTGTTTAACTGCAAG